TTCATGTTCTGTACAATGTGACTAAACAAGAATTTGGGATCTTCAGTGTTAAGAATATGACTAAGGTACTAATTTCAAATTTTATTCAATAGTTTAATCCAAGGGCCAATTATTTGAGTAATACTTTGTTCTTATCTTCGAATCCACAAAGAACATTTTCAAATATTTAATTTAGTACTTCTTGATTGTCACTACTTTAACAAAGAAATTAACTTACAGAGAATATTATAGTAGGAGAATTGTTAATCAAATATCGAACTCGTACCAAGATTCATATAAACTTATTCAAGTCAATATTCTTAACATTTTCTATAATATACTGAAAATATTTAATTAAACATGTTGGGGGACCCAATAATAATGGAAGAGAAGTTTTGAATATGACGATCCACAAAAAATCTTTCTAAAATTCGAATATGACCATATAGATTTGGTAAGATTTCCCTTGCAATTAATTTTATTTAAATTGATGATTTTACTTATCCAAAGACTATTCTCATAATGCTATGTGACCAAAGTAAAAATATATTTTTTGTTAATTTATGTGTATTAGTTATTATAACAATAAGAATAATAATACAAAAGATTGTACCAACAAACTCAAATCCATGACTTTCAAACCATCAATTTCTCAAACAAAATTAACATATATATATACATGACAAGTCGAGCATTTGCCCGATGAAAAAAAGGTTTGTCATGCCATATTGTACTACTACACCCAAAAACTTAAATTCTTAAATAGTAATTTAAATTCATTATTCTTATAATACTAGGCATGTAAAACTTTCATTAGAGCCATAAAAATGACATGATAAACCTATTATTTTTTTGGACTCCGTCCTCAGTGCTCTGAATCGAGCTTTAACTTTTTGCATATGTTAAAGTTGGCACAAACGAGCTTCCAAGAAGACTATGTTGAACACAAGAAGCCAGTGATATTCTCCAACGTTTGATTCCGCGTGGTCGTACTCAATCATAGAATTCATCAAAGTTTTGCATAAAATAATTACCAAATATAACCCTAAATATATTCTTCCTAGAAAGTATGGGCAAAGGCCCTTCGCCACAAAATAAACAAGGAGAAAAAGGAGAAATGGAGAAAAAAATAATGCAATTTGATCCTAAAGTAGTAACCCTCCAAGAGGGCTCCCTACCTGGCTGTGGAGCATAGAATTATGGGTGGGGGAAGTGGGAATTAGGTTTAAAGAATACATCACTCGTCCCTATCATATCATGCATGAGATTTTAGTGTGTACTTTTGTTTAGAAAATTTTATTATTTTGGACCAACTTTTTATGATTATAATTATAATTAACTCAACGATGATGATTATGCACTCGTGGTATCGTGATTAGCCTTGACGGCTAAAGAGAATTATTCAATTATTCTTTTTTCACGTTTCAAAGTTCCATAGAGTTCTAGTTACTCAAAAGCAAAAAAAATAGTAATTTCATTGGCTTCATGATGTGGTCCTAGTTTTAGCAGTACTGCTTAGAGCCGTGAAATAAATTAATTACGAGATGTGATGGTGTACAATTATTCATCGGTTGACATTAAATGTCATACAATTGAGGCTCCAAATTTAATTGATCAGAAACTTTTGAATATCTAGAGAATATCTCCATCATGAAGTCTAAAATGTAGTTATTTGATACAAAACTTACGTAACAAGACTTTTTACTAGTTATATTACATGATAATTTAAGTTCGAACAAACCCAAAATGAAATTTATGTTTTCTTTTAGTTGTATCATTTGTGCATCTTTTAACATATTCCTTTGAAGTTTAGTTTTAAAAATAACATTGGAATAGTCTAACCTAAGATGGAAGTGATGATATATATACTACTTATTCCAAAGCCACATATACCTAACAATCTTTTCATGAAAAGAAGAGACTCCATGAAAACCAAGGTTTCATCCACATGCTCCCCTCTTTTCTCATGCATGAATTTACATTCAAAAACCACTTAAAGTGAGTTGGGTGGGGGTTGGGGTGCACTATTCTTTATAAAATCTCAAAACTATGTATTTAATTACAAATTAAATTTAATTAAAACTAATTAGAGTATCTCCGAGAGACTCTCTATTTTAAAGAGTATATTCTATAATTTAGAGAGTAAACATTTTGAAGTGCTCTAGTTCTTTATATCTAACACTTAATTTACTATTTTTTATTTTTCTCTATATTTTATTTTAACTAACTTTTCTTTAGATTATTATATTATTTCTCTATATTGAAAATTAAAATACTTTGAATGCATTTAATTATAGAAAGTGAATTTGATTCTCCAAATAAATTATAATGTGAATTGAAAGTTTTTGAAGTATGATTTTAAGGGTTGACTCTTTAGAATGAAAAGCATCTCAATTCTCATGTTTAAAAAATTTCTTTAATATGCTTTTAGCTTATTAGTTAACATATTAGTAAGAGCCTAGGCCCTGGCAAAGTACACTCCAATCGTCATTATAACTAAATATAAAATCTTGAAAAAGGGTTTGCTTTCAAATGTAAGTAAGTGTAATTAGGGCTTCACAGGTATAGAGTCACGTGGATTCCATTTCCAAAAGTAACACTAAAAACTACCTTTACACTTAATTAAACACAAACCATAATCAAATACTCTAGATAAGATTTTAGGGTTTAGAACTACTTTAAAAGTATGTTTAATATCTTACACTGCACAAGTCATAGTTAGCGTTTTAGCTAGAACTATTATCAACGCAGATGACTATCAGGAGGGAAATTATTATCGATATTTTGTATCATTTGAGTGATTTAGAATGAACTGTGTTAGACGATAAGGAGGAAAATTATTCCGTGCTCGTATTATAAATAGATGTGAATATGCCAAATAAGTGTGTACCAACAAGTATACTAAAACCTAATTTCATATATTTATAAAATTTGGAGAAAAATATGAAGATATTTTTACTTATTGGCAAGATGACAGCAGAAATAGTGGGTCCCATTGTGGTACCGCTTAATGTGAACCATGGGTTGGCAGGAGTGGGCTTAGTGGGCCGAAAGTCTTAATCCAAATGTGGGGGTCCAATAGGTTGTGGATGACGTTAACCTCCAGCTCAATTTTTGCCTTTCAGTCCACGTGGGCACCTATTTTATTATCTGAGTCAGCTTTCTATTCTGCCAGGTAAGCATGTCAATTCAAAATATATAATTCTTTACTGGGAGCTACCATTGTGGGCCCATCAGAATCAGATGAAGATGTTGCGTCACTTTCATTTGCTTCTCTAATTCCGTCTGACCCTGATTAGTAATTTTCGTCCAACACAATTCACTTAAAATGATCAACAACAAATTCATTACCATTGACTTCTAGAATGTTTCCACATACAATTAGGGTCCGTTTTGATTGCGAAGATGGAATTTGGGTGAAAGAAAACGAATTTTAGATGTTTGAATTGCTTAGAAATTATTTTCCTGAGAATTGTAAATTATTGTGTTTGATTGATATAATTTTTCACATGGAATTCGTTGAAATAAAAGTTTTTTTTTGTGCTCGTTTGGCTTTGTTTTACATGAAAATTGTCAATTAAAGGAATAAATTTTACTGATATTAGAGATGAAATTTGTTTCCATTGTCAAAAAAAAAAAAATTTCAAGAAAATTATCTATTTTTAGTGTTCGTTTAACTTTGTTTTACATAAAAATCGTCAATTAAATGAAAATATGATTTTACAATTAAAGATAAAATTTGTTTCCATTGCTATAAAAAAAACGAAAATTTTTTTTTATTTGTTACAGTAACTGGGAAAACCAAGAAAAATCCTATGTGGCAAGGCAACCAAAAATTTCATTTCCATTAAAAAAAAAAAAAGTCATCAAACACCCTTAAAATTGGAAAATGAAACTATCAAACACACCCTTACAATATCGTACGTAAATTCCATAATCAAAATTAGAAATGAAGACATTTATTTTTTCTGAAATCGTGTGTTTATATACATGACAATTTTATGTACTTAAGTTTTGTTTTATGAAAATAGAAAGGATTGCAATAAATGATCACGAATCAACGAGTTGTTTTCTTGAATTTGTTTCGTCTATGACTTTATTAAAAATGCTACTTTAAGAATGAAACTAGAAGAATATGTCTAGACTAAGAGTCTTGTTTGGTAGGATTTTTGTTTCTACTTTTTGTGTGAGATCTTTTTAAGAAAACTACTTTAAGTCAACCTTTTATAAGAACTCTTCTGACCAAATAAAGTATGTTTAGAAAATTATCTAAATTATTCGCAATGGTGTTGTCGAGATTCATGCTTCAAAAGGTCGATAATGCAATTAAACCCTCAGAAATCTTTTCAAGATCTTCGTCGGGAAGAGAAGCGGACTTAACCTCGATCTTCAACCTTCGACATAATCGAAACCCCTTGCTTTTGCTTGTAGGAGACCGCAATGTAAATCGCTTTCTTCAGCTTGCATACTAAGTTAGATTCTTAGGAGAAGAGAAGCCTGTAAGGCCGAATAGAAATTCTTGCAGATCCCCACTTCCTTTATGTTGTTGAAAGGCATTCTTCATGTCAAATTAAAAAAAAACCTTTTTTTTTTTTTTTTTTTTTTAATAAATAAGACCTTTTGATTGAAACAGTTTTTAAGTACTAGAAATAATTTGATTTTTCAAAAGTTATACTGAATGTGTCCTAGGTATGATTGTTTTTCTAAGTAGTACTTTTACAACACATTGATGACATTTGATATGTTAAAATTGACAAGATTAAGAACCAGATATATTATTATCGTGTTCATTCCTATCCGATTCAACATATCAAATACGTCCCTAGAGGGATGTAATTAAGTAACGATAAACCTACCCTTAAAGAAGGTACAAGGAGGACTTTGGCTTATGATTTGATAATGGCCCCTCATTTACTTCCCATCTTCTGTCACATGGACCTTTCTTAAGTCATGGGCAGTTTCTTCTATTTAAGCCCCTCCACCCCCCCTTCTCTCCTCAAAACAAACTCAACAGTCTTCTTTTCTCTTATACAATTCCTCAAACTTTCAGAAAAACCTCAGTGAAAACAAGAAGCGCAGAATTCTTGTACCTAAATCTGTTAAAAAGAATGTTTAGTTTATCTGATACTCGAAGATGTGTTTGGGTGAATGGCCCTGTAATTGTTGGGGCAGGGCCTTCAGGTTTAGCTGTGGCTGCTGGCCTTAAAGAACAGGGTGTGCCATTTGTGATTCTTGAAAGAGCTGATTGCATTGCATCTTTGTGGCAAAAACGCACTTATGATCGCCTTACACTTCATCTTCCTAAACAATTCTGCCAATTGCCTAAATTCCCATTTCCTGATCATTATCCTGAGTACCCCAACAAGAAGCAAGTCATTGAATACTTGGAATCTTATGCCAAGCATTTTGATATCAACCCACAGTTTAATGAAACTGTGGAGTCTGCTAAGTACGATGAGGCTTGTAAACTGTGGAGTGTTGAGACTGTTTCTCCAAGTGGGTGTAAGGTTGAGTACATTTGCCAATGGCTGGTGGTGGCAACTGGGGAGAATGCCGAACGAGTCGTGCCTGAAATCGAAGGCTTGGAGAACTTTGGAGGGGAAGTAATCCATGCCTGTGATTATAAATCTGGTGAAAATTTCAGAGGAAAGAGCGTTGTAGTCGTGGGGTGTGGAAATTCAGGCATGGAAGTGTGTCTTGATCTTTGCAACCATGATGCAAAACCTTCAATGGTTGTTCGCAGCTCGGTGAGTAATTTAAACAAAAAAATAACAATTAACAGGCACTTTCATTCATCCGTTTTCTTTCAAGAAAATTGAGTTCCAGTATTTAGATTCTAATGTGGTTTATGGGTTTTTTTTCAGGTTCATCTATTGCCAAGAGAAGTATTTGGGAAATCAACATTTGAACTGGCAATGTTTATGCTAAAGTGGCTACCACTTTGGCTTGTTGACAACATTTTGCTAGTTTTGGCATGGATGATTCTTGGGAACACTGAGAAATACGGGCTAAAACGCCCATCAGTTGGTCCATTGGAGCTAAAGAACACACTGGGAAAAACTCCTGTCCTTGACATAGGTGCACTTGAAAAAATCAAATCCAGGGAAATCAAAGTAGTCCTTGGAATCAAGAAGTTCTCATGTGGAATGGTTGAGTTTGTAAATGGTGAAAAGCTCGAAATTGACACAGTTGTTATGGCTACTGGATATCGCAGCAATGTTCCTTCTTGGCTACAGGTGAGAAAAAGTTTCCGTTTATAGATTCAGACACACAAGTTTGTAAATTTTAAGGAACTAAGTTTCTTATATGCAAGGCTGATGTTTGTTTTAACTGATTTTGTTCTTTTAGGAAAGTGAATTCTTCTCCGAGAATGGATTTCCAAAGACACCATTTCCTAATGGATGGAAAGGAAAAGAAGGGTTATATGCAGTTGGATTTACAAGAAGAGGGCTATCTGGTGCATCTGCTGATGCAATGAAAATAGCACAAGATATTGGCAAAGTTTGGAACGAGGATTTGAATAAAAAAAACAGAAAGTCCCTACACATAGAAGATGCATTCGACATTCTAATAGGAGGTCCCAGGATTTTCTGATGACAACAAATGAGATATTAACTTATTTTTCGTCATTAATCTTGTCCGATGTTGTTTTTATTGGTGTATAAAGAAAAAGTGAATAGCGTAGGGATTAGCCCTCTCCAAGGAAGCTCAAGTTTTGTGATGTTTTGGGCATTTTGTATACTAGGATGACGAGGCTTTTTTCCTTCTACTTTTTACCACTAACTTTATGTAATATAACTATGCATTGATCAATTAAAATGAAAAATAAGTCTAATTTGTAAATTTGTCCCACTTCTACTTATAAGCTGAAGTTTCATGCTGTTTTAGCCTATAGTGCATCCCAAATTCCCATCAAACAACAAAACCACTCATACCCCTTGAAAAACAAATAAGCGAGACGTGTTAACAAATGAAGGTAATAGTCGTTAATAATTGCAATATATGTGCAGAACTGAAGAAGTCTTCATTTATGATCTAAATAAAAGAGGTAAGAAGAAGAGATGTGATCATTTATATTAGCTAAAAAAAAAAAATATTAGCATCAACAATAAAGTTCGTTTTTTATTATTGAACACGAGTGGCTAATTATTTTCTTCCTCTTTCTACTATACTTTTCCAATGAGACGAGATGGACCATGTTTGATCATCAACTTGACAGTTAACATAAATCATGATTCATGGGTGAATCGGGTAATTAGTCCTCATAAGTACAATTCAAAACACGTAAACGGAAGAAAAGAAAATGTAAAAAGGCCAGAGTTGGGTTTACAAAAGTTAAACCTGATCCAGGATTCAAATTCATTAGCTATTATTAATTATATTAAAAAAAGAAAAAAGCAAATATGGCTTCGCCCGGACTCGAACCGGAGACCTTCAGTGTGTTAGACTGACGTGATAACCAACTACACCACGAAACCTCCTTGCACCTCAGTTAGAGTTACCTATATTTAATCAAGTTTGGATAAAGATAATTACACTACTTTGGCAAGACTTTTGAAAAGTTAAAAGATACTTTTGATCATAATTGGATAATTTTGCCTGGCTAAAGAAGTTTCAGAGAAAAATGACCTAATACAGCTACTTCGAATTTTATTTTTTATTTTTTATTTTACAATAAGCAAAAGTTCCGTCTAAAGAACTTTTAATATCTTGTCATCTCCATTGATTTAAGAAAACTCTATAGTTTACATTATATAATACATTGTTTGTGCTTGACTTTAATCGATTGGTTCATATAGAGCCAAACAATCAAGTAACATCTAACCTCAACTTATGTAGATGATCACTCTCTCTAGAATAATGTACCCGACAAATCAAGCCGGTCGACACATCGCATCCCATAGTACCATGTTATATAATATGCAACAAAATTAAACAATCTTCACCTCGTTTTGTCCATCGAATATATTGTATTCAACATCCAAAACCAAATGCAGCCAAACACACTTTACATTCCTCAGTTTTCCCAAGACAGGAAGAAGAAGCTCATAAACAACCCACATGGTTTCTCCATACCATGTACAAAAATTTATGAAAATTTTCTTTCGATTTTTGATGGGGCCATCCACGTTCTTGAATCTTGAACCTCAAGAAGCTTCATTGACTGTAGTTTGACATCTTCATTTATGTCCTTGTCTATTTGGGCACATATGCATTATCCTTAAGCACAGCTATGGCTTCTTTCTTGTTCAGACATACTTACTATTGTTTGCAGATGGTAACATGGGGTTGGTCAATGGTCATAGGTTACTTTATTAGTCTCATCAAATGCCTCTTTCCCTCCCAAGTACATTGATAACAAGAAGACAAGAGAATCAATATTGTTTTCATATCTTTTATCGTTCTTTTTTGTTAGTGATCAAATCTACTGGAACACTTAAGAGCCCTTTTGGCAAGATTTTTCAAAAATCAAAACTAATTCTGAGACTAAAAATTTTATTTTTTAACATGTTTGGTTAATGTCCTAAAAATACTTTGTTGGCCATAAGAAATTTTAGAGGAAGTTGACTTAAATTAAGTTCCTCACAAAATTTTATACAAGCAGCAGAAGTAAAACAAGAGCCATGTCAATGAGCTTTTGAAACAAATAAAACTTTAGTAACAAAAATAGAATATTTTGATTTTATTCTAAGTCCTTTTACACTAATATGTTATGTATTCTACTCAGATTGTGTCACTCTTATGAAAATACAGCCAAATCTCGATGTTATAAATGTGTGATGCTTGAGGTGCAATAATCTTAAAATGAGAAATACAGTTCAAAATAATTTTGACTAATCAGTTGGATCTTGTTATGAGGAAAATCTTCTAAAGACCCTAGCAAAGTGTTTTCTAGATCGAACAAGATATGGTAAAGCTAGTATATTCCTTTTCTTAATGCTATTTTTAATCTACTTTGTCAAGTTAAACTTACCAAACATGTCGTAAATGCAGCTTTCTCATTATCTTCTCCACAAAAATGGTAAAAGTCTATATAGACTTTTTTTTTTGGGACTGAGAAATGTTGATTGCAACAATAAAGAAATGTAATGAACAAAGATTTTGTGGTGGGGGAGTGTGGGTTGGGAGTTGGGCCGTGGTGTGTCGAATTCTATTAGGGCTGAATTGGGCTATATTCTTAATAAACTTTTGTGCCCCATGGCTCAATCACCCAAATTTGAAGAGCATTTGTCCAACTTGCCCATTGATACACTCTCCTAATATGAATTTCACTGTGACATCCGGACCAACGCTCTCAGTTTTCTAAAATTTATTTTTATTCGAAATAATTTTTTAATTACACGTTTTATGAAATCAATGTTTATTATTAATTTTTTAACAATATATTTTATTAACTTTTATCAAAATTTATTAACAATATGATTTTTATCCAAATCAAATATAAGCTTAATTCGTTCTACTGAGATAAACAAGAATCCCGATGCTTTTAATTCTTGTTTTTGACGGAACCGTTAATTGGCCAAATGAGGAATCCAAGGGTGAAAGATTAGGAAAAGAGGTATAGAAACGATTGACCTTGACGATCTCTCCATATATAGAATATTATTTAAATGTTTTTATTTTTACATTTTTGTTTTAAAATATATAAATAAAATACAATTTATATATAAATAAAAAATTCAGGATGGCCGGAAATTTCGAGAACGGAATCATATTTTCCATCCCCACCCTATTTATCATTCGGAGCAAAAAAATTCGCTTCGTATTTCAAATGAGACAATACTTATACAAGAATTTGTTCATCCATAAATAAAATAATTAAATACTATTGTAAGTATATAACATAGCGCTTGTTTGTTTATTTACATTATTTTCAAAATATATTTTTGAGCCATGCTGTACTTATAGAAAGGAAAGTCACGAAATTTTTCCTAACAACTCAAAGTGTGAATGGGAGGGTGATATTTTTTGGCATTTTTTAATCATACATGGGGCCCACACATGTCTCTGATCTGGCAGAATTTTGTACAAATGGAAATTTTCAATATTTTTCTCTCTATTTTCAATCACACATTTTTTAATAAAATAATATTATCTGTAAATTCAAAAATTTTGCAATAAACTAATATTATACATAAACTCAAAACATTTTCTTATATTTTACCCATGCTTTCTCCATCAAAATACTATTTTAAAATACATTTTGAACAAAAAATTGAGTTTAAAGAGGCTCTTGCAACACAATAATGTATAATTGCAAAACTTGAAATTACAAAAAATGGGCTTTCCATAAAATTCACAAGAGTTTATAAATAAATGAAGGATTATGCTATGTGTACATAAAAATTGTACATAAGCGAGAAAAAAATTGGACAAAATTCTAAATCGACAAATAATAGCGTGACAATCCATTATATAAAGGTTGATCTACATGAAGGAGCAAAGTCCATAAATGAAACCCCAGATGCCAAAATCCTAACAATTTCATTTCACCACCTCAAAATTGACATCAGGCTATCAGGGTGATTCACGCACGCTTCTTCTTTCTTAAATTCAGTGTGCCGATATTAGATTACAAAATTCTACCTTAAGGTATGTGAAATTTTCTCTATTCGAATTCTTTTTGCGCGAGTAATTGCATGGTTCAACGTCCATAAGCTACAATTTATTTAGCTCTTTATTGTAAAGAAGGTTTTTGAATTAAAATGGCTTCATAACTCTGCAACGGATAGAGGTGTCATTAAAATTACAACTAATAATTAGTTAATGTAATTTATTGTTTTATTAAGCTTGTTAATTGCATATAAATTTACTATTTCCATAATTAGAAACCTAGGTGTCCTAAAAGCTAATTCGTTAACTATATGGTTAAAGAATAGTTAATTTATTGTTTGTTCCCTTCCAAAGTCGAATCGAAGGCTTGACTTTCAAGTTTCAACTAACATTTTAGCCTCCGTTTGTTAGCGGTTTTCACTTAAAAAAATCAATTTTTTATCATTATTTCATTATTACAGACGTTATTTTTTATTTTTTTCAACTCACAGTTCAATCCACTTTTTTCTCTAAGGGTCAAAAAAATTAATTAATATATTTTTATATAGATTCAAATTAATTAATTATTATTATTATTAACCCAGAATGGACATAAATTATTTTGATGATAATATTTTCATAATTATTTTAACTTAAATAAAGATATATTTAAAATGAAAATTATTTTAAACTAAACTTGAGGCCACCACAGTCCAGTAATAATGGGAGCAGCTTCAGCATTGGCGAGAGGAAGCGGTAAATTTGCTAAAAGTGGATTCGATAACAGAAAATTAACAGCAAAATAATGACTTCAGTGGCTGGCACGTCTCGATTCACCATTGGAAAATTCAATTCTCTTTCTCTATCCTCTACTCAGTCTCTTCAAAATCGAATTCCCACTCTTTCCCAGCTTCCGAATTGTGTTTCAAATTTCACGTGCCACCGCAATGTTGGCGGCGAAAGAATGTCCGGCAAAGCTTTATCGAGAAATTGGGAGCGTAGTAAGATTCGGGCTATGTCATCTGGCTCATTCGGATCCCGATTGGAGGAGAGTGTGAAGAAGACTGTCACTGAGAACCCAGTTGTTGTTTACTCCAAAACTTGGTGCTCGTAAGTGCTCGCTGATTTTTCTTTGTTTTTATTTTTGTCATATTTGAATACTTTCTCGAGAGATTTTATGTTGGTCTTGTTGAATTTTGTGGGGAAGGTACTCTTCGGAGGTAAAATCATTGTTTAAGAGGCTTGGCGTGGAGCCGCTCGTTATTGAATTGGACCAAATGGGTAAGTTTAAATTTTTTTTTTTTTTTCAATAAATCCTATTCGTGCGTGTGTTTGTGTATAGAACATTGTCAATTATGGTCGGATGTGAATGTGGTTTTCTTGAGTACCATTGAGACCTGCATATTTGAATACAATTTGATATGATTTTCAACAGATTCTGGAAACAATTAAAATTAATATGTAAACGGTGTTAGTAAAAGGGGAAAAAAAAAAGGAAGAAAGAAAAACTGGCTGCAAATGAAAAAAGAAAAAAAAAATCCAATTATAATTGCAACTTAAAGATGGAATCAACATTTTTTTTTTTATAAGGTCTTCTTTATCAAATTTGGGTACTGGTCTCTAAATATTATCTGTGTAACTGCCATTTATTGATCGTTCATTTTAGTGTCTGCATTATAGAAAATGAAGAGATAAACTATTGTTCTTTGATTACATTGATGTTACTTAGAAAATGAATTCTCAAGACCAATCTTGAACCATATTTTCTATATTAATAACCTGCCATAGTTTTTGCAAGTTTTAGTTAGTTATTCATATTTTCTTGTCTAACTTCAATCTTCTAACTGTTGTCTCAATTTTTGAGTGCTAGCGAATAAAAAGGAAAAAAACGATATTGAACACTTGCCTTTGTTTAAGAACAACATCTTTTTTAAACAATTGTTTCAAGTAAAATTGGTGTCAACTCAATCTTCTGACTGATGTCTCAATTTTTGATTACTAGAGAATAAAAAGAAAAAAAAAAACGATATTGAACTATCGTCTTTGTTTAAGAAGAACAGCTTTTTTAAACAATTGTTTCAAGTAAAATTTGTGTCAAGTTAGCCAATTCCATCAGATGATTAGTGTCCATAACAATATGTGGACAAATAACATACACAGTTTTATCTAAAATCCTCCCGTACAGTTGTTAATCTAAAGAGAGAAAAGATACCATTTAGATTTTTGCATGAATACAGGGTAGACTGAAATGTAAATATGGTATTGTTTATATAGACTTTATTAGGAGCTCTAAAATATGAATATGCTTAATTTTTTAAATACAACAACAAAAAGTAAGGAATATTATCAACAAATTTGGGGTCGGTCTCTTGAATTCTTTCTCTTGAAACTTATTGTAATGTATGTTGATTTTATGTTGTTTTATCCTACATAAGAATTCATAAAAGGACAGATCTTATAACTGATTTTGTGGAAAAAGATAGATGAAATCAGGCGTGAGACCGAATTTGTACTGCCCTTGCACAGAATTTCCACCTTTTCATTTTTCAGGTCCCCAAGGACGACAACTGCAGAAGACTCTAGAGAGGCTTACTGGACAACATACTGTTCCAAATGTTTTCATTGGTATGAAGCATTTCAAAATGCTTTACGATTCCATCACACATTAATAAGAATGTTGAAACTTGAACATATATATAAACTCATTTTACTATGCACTATATCTTTATACTGTTTGCTTAACTTGCACGTTACAAACTAATAACTATGTCCGTTGAGAAGCCCTTGATATAGGCTAGATCTGCATATCATCTCATTATGAAGTGATGCAATTGACCTGATATGTTGTAGCAAACCATTCCATTGCTAATGGGATGAAAGACCTCCTTGCCGATAAAGAGATGTTATGTTATTTTGTTAAAAAATAAGACAAGTTTTAATTTCAAGCGATTTCAGCTTTAAAGTTATTATTTTTGCAAATAAGATTGTGAAGAGTATTAAAACTAATATTTTTTTCTCATGAGCAGGTGGGAAACACATTGGTGGTTGCACAGGTACTGTTTCTGACATTGCTCATCCTTAAGACGATGATTTAACTTTATATTGGTTCCTCCAGAAAAAAGTGATTTTTTTTTCTCAATGTCCTGTGCTCTATTTTCACGATAGTTCAGGATAGAACATTTTACTTCCATGTTAATTTAAAAATAAAAAATAAAAAAAAATTCAAGTTTTTTCATGTTGTGTACCACCACTGGAATAATTATAGATTATTTGAGATAACTAAACTTGAGGCCACCACAGTCCAGTAATAATGGGAGCAGCTTCAGCATTGGCGAGAGGAAGCGGTAAATTTGCTAAAAGTGGATTCGATAACAGAAAATTAACAGCAAAATAATGACTTCAGTGGCTGGCACGTCTCGATTCACCATTGGAAAATTCAATTCTCTTTCTCTATCCTCTACTCAGTCTCTTCAAAATCGAATTCCCACTCTTTCCCAGCTTCCGAATTGTGTTTCAAATTTCACGTGCCACCGCAATGTTGGCGGCGAAAGAATGTCCGGCAAAGCATTATCGAGAAATTGGGAGCGTAGTAAGATTCGGGCTATGTCATCTGGCTCGTTCGGATCCCGATTGGAGGAGAGTGTGAAGAAGACTGTCACTGAGAACCCAGTTGTTGTTTACTCCAAAACTTGGTGCTCGTAAGTGCCTGCTGATTTTTCTCTGTTTTTATTTTTGTCATATTTGAATACTTTCTCGAGAGATTTTATGTTGGTCTTGTTGAATTTTGTGGGGAAGGTACTCTTCGGAGGTAAAATCATTGTTTAAGAGGCTTGGCGTGGAGCCGCTCGTTATTGAATTGGACCAAATGGGTAAGTTTAAATTTATTTATTTATTTTTTTCAATAAATCCTATTCGTGCGTGTGTTTGTGTATGGAACATTGTCAATTATGGTCGGATGTGAATGTGGTTTTCTTGAGTACCATTGAGACCTGCATATTTGAATACAATTTGATATGATTTTCAACAGATTCTGGAAACAATTAAAATTAATATGTAAACGGTGTTAGTAAAAGGGGAAAAAAAAAAGGAAGAAAGAAAAACTGGCTGCAAATGAAAAAAGAAAAAAGAAATCCAATTATAATTGCAACTTACAGATGGAATCAACATTTTTTTTTATAAGGTCTTCTTTATCAAATTTGGGTACTGGTCTCTAAATATTATCTGTGTAACTGCCATTTATTGATCGTTCATTTTAGTGTCTGCATTATAGAAAATGAAGAGATAAACTATTGTTCTTTGATTACATTGATGTTACTTAGAAAATGAATTCTCAAGACCAATCTTGAACCATATTTTCTATATTAATAACCTGCCATAGTTTTTGCAAGTTTTAGTTAGTTATTCATATTTTCTTGTCTAACTTCAATCTTCTAACTGTTGTCTCAATTTTTGAGTGCTAGCGAATAAAAAGGAAAAAAACGATATTGAACACTTGCCTTTGTTTAAGAACAACATCTTTTTTAAACAATTGTTTCAAGTAAAATTGGTGTCAACTCAATCTTCTGACTGATGTCTCAATTTTTGATTACTAGAGAATAAAAAGAAAAAAAAAAACGATATTGAACTATCGTCTTTGTTTAAGAAGAACAGCTTTTTTAAACAATTGTTTCAAGTAAAATTTGTGTCAAGTTAGCCAATTCCATCAGATGATTAGTGTCCATAACAATATGTGGACAAATAACATACACAGTTTTATCTAAAATCCTCCCGTACAGTTGTTAATCTAAAGAGAGAAAAGATACCATTTAGATTTTTGCATGAATACAGGGTAGACTGAAATGTAAATATGGTATTGTTTATATAGACTTTATTAGGAGCTCTAAAATATGAATATGCTTAATTTTTTAAATACAACAACAAAAAGTAAGGAATATTATCAACAAATTTGGGGTCGGTCTCTTGAATTCTTTCTCTTGAAACTTATTGTAATGTATGTTGATTTTATGTTGTTTTATCCTACATAAGAATTCATAAAAGGACAGATCTTATAACTGATTTTGTGGAAAAAGATAGATGAAATCAGGCGTGAGACCGAATTTGTACTGCCCTTGCACAGAATTTCCACCTTTTCATTTTTCAGGTCCCCAAGGACGACAACTGCAGAAGACTCTAGAGAGGCTTACTGGACAACATACTGTTCCAAATGTTTTCATTGGTATGAAGCATTTCAAAATGCTTTACGATTCCATCACACATTAATAAGAATGTTGAAACTTGAACATATATATAAACTCATTTTACTACGCACTATATCTTTATACTGTTTGCTTAACTTGCATGTTACAAACTAATAACTATGTCCGTTGAGAAGCCCTTGATATAGGCTAGATCTGCATATCATCTCATTATGAAGTGATGCAATTGACCTGATATGTTGTAGCAAACCATTCCATTGGTAATGGGATGAAAGACCTCTTTGCCGATAAAGAGATGTTATGTTATTTTGTTAAAAAATAAGACAAGTTCTAATTTCAAGCGATTTCAGCTTTAAAGTTATTATTTTTGCAAATAAGATTGTGAAGAGTATTACAACTAATATTTTTTTCTCATGAGCAGGTGGGAAACACATTGGTGGTTGCACAGGTACTATTTCTGACATTGCTCATCCTTAAGACGATGATTTAACTTTATATTGGTTCCTCCAGAAAAAAGTGATTTTTTTTTTCTCAATGTCCTGTGCTCTATTTTCACGATAGTTCAGGATAGAACATTTTACTTCCATGTTAATTTAAAAAAAAAATAAAAAAAATTCAAGTTTTTTCATGTTGTGTACCACCACTGGAATAATTATAGATTATTTGAGATGGTAAATGCCAGTAAATTTGAATGCCATGCTACAGATTTAATGCAATTTTATGAGTGTCAAATTGGTAAATAATATTAGATTAATATCAAGATAGTATATACCCTTGTGCTTTGGAAAATAATTATTGTTATGTGATTTTATAGTTGTTTCCATCTTTGTCACTCGATTGGTTCTCTTAGATGAATTTCTTTCATTTTTCAAGAATTGCCGTTGACTGCTCAATCTTTTAAGCAGTTTCTTCAACACACTCGTATTATTTACTTGTCTAGACTCTAGGTTTATCTATATAGATCCTTTTTGCTAACCATTTTATCGAGCGCCATGTCCAACATTAAAATTTAAACCTTTTAAGTCTCGGATACTTCTCAATTTCCACATTCCATGTAATTATAAATTGACCTGTCCCTTGTACAGTTACTTAATAGGTGCATCTAATAGCCTTCCCTGAGCATATCCAAGCCATTTGAATACTTTCTCCCACAATTTGTCTTCAATAGCACCTGCCTTGAAATACTTTCATATATACTCGTTTCCAATCCTGGTTTTACTGCAAATCCATCAAAACATTAAAATAGTAGGTTTCTAGATTTCTATTATGCCTTCATTATGTTAAAGTGTTTTTATTTCCTAAAAGCAATAAGAGCAACTATCAAGTTCGCAGTTCACAGCAATCTCCATTAGGAGGTGTAATTGTAGAAAGATGAGGCGAAAACCATAAGTAGTATTTAGCATTTTTTTTAATTGCAGAGCAAAGCTGAACAAAAATTTCAATTTGGGAATGGGAATTAATGTTATTTCTTAAATCCAATTTGCTGGTCTGGTTGCAGTCCTGTAGTACTTTGTGTTAAAACTTACAAAATTTCATTGATCACGTGAATGATTGAACCTAACAATACATTAATCATGTTTTCCATCTTGAAGTATTTTTATCCTTTTTTTTTTTTGCCCAATGCTGTAGATACTGTCAAGTTACACCATAAAGGAGAACTTCGCCCGCTGCTATCAGGATCTGGAGCCACTAAGATGCAGAGCTAGCACTGAGCTCAATATTACTTTACAATTTTTTTTTCCTCAGCTCCCCTTAGTCGTCCTAGAATTCAATGATAACTTTATGACAAATATCTTCTAAAAACTATGGCAACTTGTATCTTTTTCGAGATACACCTTTGCTCATATCACATCTAAATTCATTCTGTTGTGGGTACATTCTCAACTCTTGAGTATTTGAATTGCTTATTTCAAATCTCTTCACTGGTTCTATGTCTAGTTTTTGATTTTTTTCACCGGATATTGCATGATACTGGCGCTTGCCTGTCTACAGAACCATTTTGTTATGTTTATGGATGGACACTTGTGAATGGCAATTGCTTGGTTTTGTCTGTGAGACTGTTAGCCATTTAACCTTAGTTCAATAAGTTCTAAGTATCATTAACCTGGAGAGAAACTCAGTGTCTAAATTCATCTGTTCATTAATACATTGTCAAGCAACTGCAGAGGCTAATTTGCCTTTCTGCAAGAGTTTCTAATTATCCAATTGATGACTTTTTACTCCAGTATATTGCATGTTATTATTTTCTTGGATTTAGATTGTTTGAATTTCGTTATGTAATTATAGGTTGTCAAACCTTTAACTTGCATGGCTATATCTGCAAAATAATTGGTAACTTTACATATTTTATGGAAAAAATTTGCTCTTTCACATTCTTCTCTCTCTTGTGATTCGCTTTTATGTCCTAGTTGTGATTGATTTCTGAACAGATTTAGGTGCCACTTTCCACCTTCAGAAATAAAACCAAGTTCCTAAAAATAAGGTCTCAAGAGTAAAGGAATAGAGTAATACTAATAAGCTAATGTTCTACTGGACTATCCTTTTATGTAGAAATTACACGGTAGATTATAGGCCAAGTAAAAGAGAGAGATTGAGCTTTTTCATAGATGCTTGGACTGTAGACTTGTTGCTGATCTGCTAACCGACAAAACAACGATTGATACAGATGATGATGTGATGACTAGTAAGTGCTTAATTGGTACATAGTACTAACATTATGATAAACTATTTTTTAGCTTCTGTTGCATCCTTGATATTGTTCTGTACTATGCAATCTTCCCTAGCAAAGATTCTGTGAGTGTATAAAGATGGAGACCTGAAGAACAAATCATAGTGACTGTTGAGAAGGTGAACTGCAATGTATCTATGTCCTTGCAAGCAAAATGTCTCTTTTGTGCATGCAGTATGCCAACATTTCATTCCGATCCGGAAGATTATCTTTTAGAACAGGATGTTCCTTGAAGTTCTTAACCCAAGCATGTAGGCGAGGAAAGTCATTTGCTTCCATAATTTTTACTCCCACCGTCTCTTCAATTACGTCATTCCAGACAGCCATCCATCCAAAGGCTATATCTGTCAATCCTATGTTGTTTCCACAGAAAAATTTCTTGTCACCAAGACCATGCTCTTCTACAATCTTCAGCTGTTGTTTGGCTTCTTCTACTGCTTTCTCTTGTTCCTCACCAACAGTCACATAGAATGCCCCAAAGATTGGGCTCTACAGCAACAAATAGAATGATTAGACCAAGAAAAATAGAATGATTAAGCTATGCAGAAAGAAAGAAAGAAAGAAAGAAAAGAACTGATTGAGCCAAAGTGAACTCTTCCCCAAGGATCTTATTGATGTGTCTATTAGATTTGTATTGCTGGGTAATGAAGACTAAGTCTAGAAAAAAGTGGTATCTTCACATGCACTACCTCTCCCCAAAAGCTATGTCATATTAATCATCATGTAGAAGGAAAGCTGGTCATTGTTTATAAGCATGGTTGATGTAAACTCATAGCATAGATTACCTTATCCTCCACAAATTTCATCCAGAATCGAGCGATGGCCTTTTCATGGGAATCACTCGGAAGCAATGGATTTTGGGGCCAGGTTTCTTCAATGTATTCCAGGATCACTGTTGACTCTGCAATTGATCTTCCATCATGAATGAGCACAGGTATTTTCTTGTGAACTGGATTATGCTGAAGTAGCATGTCACTCTTATTTGAAAGATCCTCTTCTATGTACTCATAATTGAGGCCCTTGAGCTTCAGTGCCCATATAATTCTGTAACTGTATGGACTAGGCCAAGCACCAAGTAGCTTTATCTCTTCCATTTTGCTGCTTTACGCTGTTCTCGACCCTGTTCCGGTTTAGATTTCTGCCTCGGGGTTTAGAATCAGGCAGAAGAGTGTGTGACTTCCCTGGCTGCAGATTGATGATGATATATAGAGGTGATTGAAACCCTGTGAAGAAGATGGTATTGAATTGGATATTCTTTGACTTTTCTCTCTTTTTGTGGCTATTTTTACTTGTGGGCTGGGATTTTTTTTGTCCTTTTCGCCTGATATTTTTCTAGGATGGTTGGAAACTAGATTGAAAATGGACATAAATGATGTTAACTGGTCAGCAATGTTCAGCTATAATATTTCGAAGAATGGAAAGGAAAATTTTCACTGTTGGTCTGTGACCAAAAAAGGAGCAAAGTCGTCTCTTAAATTAAGTGTAATACTACAAGAGATAAATAGCTCAATTTTCGCTGAACTTTCTAAAATATTTCTCAATCGCTATTGAACTTTAAAAGCTTTTCGAGTTGTTATTGAACTTTTTCTCATTCGTTTGTCAATCGTCGTTGAACTTTAAAAGCTCTTCGATTTGTCTTTGAACATGCTAAAATGTTATCATATTCACTATTCCGTTATTCGTCATTCTAAAGGTTAATAGACTAGGTAATATGGTTGATCAAATGACAAAGGAAATAGCATTATGGTAAATTCATCTAGTTTTTTAACTTTAGCAATAGCGAGTGACAGAGCAACATATGAGTTAACGTTTTTGTAAGTTTAGTGGAACCCATAAAACTTTTAACGTTCAATGACAATTGGAAACACTTAGGGTCCGTTTGATTATAAGAATGAAATTTGGGTGAAAAGAAAACGAATTTCAGGGAATTGAATTGTCTAGAATTTGTTTTACTGAGAATTGTCAATTAAATTTGTTTAACTGGTATAATTTTTCACTTGAAAAATGTTGAAATTTTCTATTTTTGGGTATTCATTTGGTTTTGTTTTGTATGAAAATTATCAATTAAAGAAATAGAATTTGTTACAATTGTAGATAGAATTTGTTCCAATTGTCAAAAAAAAAAAAAAAAAAAAAAAAAACAAAAAAAAAAATTTTTACAAAAACAAAAAAAAAAAAAAAAGACCGGAAAACAAATTTTTACCAAAATCACCAATTCAAGGAAAAGAGGTCACCTGGTGGGGGTGGAGGGAAAATGAATTTCATGACAAATTCTTGCAATCAAACAATAAAAAATGTTGGAAATGGAAAAAAAATTCCTTGAAAAATTTCCCCAATCAAACAGGTCCTTTAGGAAAGTTTAGTGGCGACTCAAATGGATTTTTTATTTTTTCATCTTGCCTTGCTTCCCAAAAATCGTGACAGAACTGGAATGGTAATGATAAAGTAGCTCATACTCATTTCGTTTCCATCCCTTTACTTAAAACAATTATGTTATATGTATATTGTGATTGATGTTAAGTTTGACATATTTTGACATGATAGAGGTCATGCTCATTGATTTTAATCAAACTTTTTCAAACTAATGGTATTGTTTTTTGCAAGTCACACAATATCAAAATTAATGCACACTAAGAAAGTGCAACTAGTTTAATTCTTAAATATTATAAGGGTGCGTTTAATTGCAAGTATGAAATTCGTATGAAAAAAAAATAAATTCTAGGTAATTCAATTGTCTAGAACTTATTTGTATGAAAATTGTCAATTAAATGTATTTGATTGATTTAATTTTCAATTTAGAAAATATTATACTTGTCCATTTTTTATTGGTCGATTAATGAAAGAGAGTAAGTGAATTTCGTATAAAATAAAATCCTACTCTTTTTAAAGAAAATATTTTTCTTGATTTTGAGAAAAATATGGTCACGTGATCAAAAGTGAGAAAATATTTTCCATGGAAAAAAATGACAATCAAATAGTACATTTTTCATAGAAAATATTGGCAATCAAACGGATTCTAACTGATTAATTTCGAATAATTTCCGAGTTACTTTTGACTAATAAAATTTCTCAGCACTCTGATTAATAACAAAAAAGATTCTGGCAATAGTATAATGAACCTCTAGGAATCTAAACACCATGGCTGTATGTAAATCATCATTCAAAAGACCGAAGTGGTGAACCCAAAATAACAGCACGCGGGGATAATACGACGGTGCAAAGCCATGGCTGCGGTTGTCCGGCTGTCCACTATAGCAGTTGCGTTCCCCAATGGTCATCCCACGTTGATGTCCCGGAGTTTCCCGCCTAATCAATGGCCGTAAATTCAATTCCGTCTCCACAGAATTTTTTCTCAGTTACTTGTTCTGCCTCCAATAGACCCTCGCCCGATGTTAGATAAAGATGCATTACTTTTGTGAAATTTGGATTTAGAATCACATTTGATTGGATCATAGTGAAAATTCTTATAATCTGTGTCTATTGGTTTGTTGCTTTTATCTGTCTATTATCTTTGAACCGGAAAATTCTAGAACCAAACGTGCTGGCAGTTGAGCTTGAACATATTCAAACACTGACTCTATGAAACTAATGGATACTAAGTTGCTTATTCCTTTTATAACTTCAAATGTACGGATGAACCTGTGATGAGCAATTTCAACATCTCTTAAGTAGAACCACTTTTGCAAAATTTCCATGTACCATTTGTCGTGTCAATGTCCCTTATCGGGGATAAATAAGGAAGAACGTAGGATCCTGCAGTTGATTTCCATCCTGGTTATTGCTTCTTTTGAGAATGATCACCTCCCAAAACTTTATGGCACATAAATTGTTTCATTAATAGCATCAGGCTTCCTTTTTTTTTTCCCCCCCAAAAATGCTTAAGATTTCTATCTGATGATGTATAATGTATTTTGCCTCTTCCCTACTTTGAGATGATTCTGAGAAGTACACAAAGCACTGCTAGCATGTTTATGACAATGTAATTTATTTGTTATTCAGTTCTAAGGCCAAAATACTAAGTGAAGTTCTTTCTCCCTTTCGATCTGCCCGGATGTTCTTTTATCTTACTTTCATTGCAAGTGCTTTTCTTGGAGGACTGATAGCTTTCACACAATTAATTGGGGCACTGGCCAATTCAACAAGAGCAGCTGAAGTTCCTGACATCATCACGGGTCTTGGCACAGATATTGCAGTCTCTATATTTGCGTTTCTTTATTACAGATATAACATTTCTAAAAATGCTCAGTTGGCTAAACTTTCAAGAGAGGAAAATATTGCAAACCTTAAGCTTCGTATGGATGAGAAGAAAATTCTTCCCGTCAGTGCTTTTAGAGGAATTGCTCATCTTGTCATTCGTGCTGGTCCTGCATCTTTCATTACTGAGCCTTTCAAACTCAGTGAACCTTTTGTCGAGGGCCTTATGGAAAGAGTGGTATTTCTTGTCCCATTTGCTACAGATGGAAATTCAGCTGTCCTTGAGTTCGAAGAAAGTGAAGAGATGAAGGAAAGAACTTCCAGACAGAAAAGGCTATGGCAGTCATCACCTGTTTTTGATACCGAGCGGTCTAAGTAAGGAATGGGGAAAAAGCTTCTCTAACTCTTTCCTTGCCCAACCTTCCTTCTCTGATATCATCAATAGCTATATATCATGAACTTTGTGTCATCGATAACTGGTGGTTAGATGAACAAAAGCAACTGGCCAAGGTCTCTCCTGAATCTCCAGTGTAAGTAATCCGTAATTTTAGCCTGCTCTTTTCCTAAACATTAGGATTATAAAAGTTCAACTTATGCTGTGATCAAAACATACGGATTTAGGTTGCAATTTAAAATTGGAGAATTTGGAAAAATGATTTGAAATCAATATGTGATGTTATCTATTCAATGTCCAAATCATATTAATTCTGAAGAAATCTAATAAAGCAATCATACCTCTTTGTTTACATATGGAGGTACTTGTCACTTCGTTTGGATGGTCATTTTCAGGGCAGTGGCGTTGGTTACCCACCTTGGAATGCTTTTGTTTTGCAATTACCAATGTGGCTTGGTCTTCTCGACGGCATGGATGGAAGAGTTTTACGAAAGTAATTAACTCTTTCCTACATAGCCTTAATTATTGCTAATTTTGTATTGTGTGGTTATATTGATTTCATTGTCATGAACTCCACCCAAGAAATTGAAATACAGCATAATATACTAGTCAGAAACAGCTTAGTTCAATGTTCTTCATTAATCAGGTATGACATCTCAATTGTAGTGTCTTTCACCCCATTTAATGTCTTATCTGAATGAAGTTCATCAGCTGGTTGAAGAAATAGAAGCAAAGGGTTCAAAACGAGTCGTTAGGAAATCGAAGTAAAAGAGAATTTCAACGTATTAAAGACACTAAAGCATTCCTATCCATACTCGTTACACAATCTCCTCCAAGTACAACAAACACGGCATCGGAAGGACACGAAGTCAGCTGATGATGATTTATGGGCTTTGTCTCCAAATAGCAACTCTTTACCATAATTTCATTTAAATGGTAGTGTTGGAATCAGGATTTAGACAATCATATGCCTTAGAGAAGCAGGACAATTAAAAGTGGGGAGGAGGCTGAGGAAATGAACTAAACAAATCCCACATCGAAAGATGACTATAGTTAACCGAGATGGAAACTAATATAAAATGGCCCATTGTAAATCTATTGAACCATGCAGCCACGCAATGGACACAAAGCGAACTATTCTTTCGCCTTTTACTAAAGAATACCGTGTGTTCGCTGCAATTAGTGGCATACACTAATTTTTGGAGAGGTCCAGTTCTTTTGGATTGGCCTCTACAAGTCCAGTTAGAAAGTTATTATTGAAATGTTAATTAGGTTTTGTTTAAATTTAAATAATTTTCTTTTTTTTTTTCAATTTTTAACGGCGAGAGTTTTTAATAAAGTAATATTTTAGGTTAGTTGAAAATTTTTCCTTTAATTTTTCAACTGCGTACTTCTCCAAAAAATGTTATTTCATTCATTTTCAAAATTGGGCCAAACGGGGCTTAATTCGTTGTGTTTAAAATCATTATTTTATTCTTGATTAAAACTATTTATTTTTAAGTTCTTAATAGCTTTTGATAAAATGAATTTTTATTTTTTATATATTCATTTTCTTAATTTTTTTTTTTTCAAGGAAAGAATATAGAGTAAATTGTTCCAACGGTTTGGACGTTACTTCGGCTTCATATCGAATCTTAAAACATAATTAGTAAAATGATAATTCCTATGAGGTTATTTGGCTTCATATCAAATCTTAAAACATAATTAGTGAAATGATAATTCTATGAGGAGGCGTACACAATAGATTACTAATATGGAAGGAGTTCACGAATATTTTATTGTCTATTTTGATAGCTAAACATGTAAAAATGATTTAGGCTTCTTGTCGTTAAAAATGTGTATCACAAGAGCACAAGTCGCGAAAAAGGAGTTGAGTTGTTAAATCCCATGAAAAATGATTACTCAATTATGTGTATCACAAGAGCACAAGTCGCGAAAAAGGAGTTGAGTTGTTAAATCCCATGAAAAATGATTACTCAATTATGTGTATCACAAGAGCACAAGTCGCGAAAAAGGAGTTGAGTTGTTAAATCCCATGAAAAATGATTACTCAATTATACAACAGTTATATCTAATTTTAGCTTGGATTTTTTTGTAATGAAACATGCAATTCATTTAATTAAACACAAACACAGGTCGCGTAAAAGTAATAAAGCGAAAAACGAGTGGGGTTGTCAATCTCACAAGAAACGGTTACTTAATTACACAATGATTATATTTAATTTTAGTTTTGGATTTTTGTAATGAAACACTATTCATTTAATTAAATTTATTGTGTGTTGTTGCAAAAATCACATTTTAATTTAGTTTGATTTTAACATCGAAAACACACAGTGAATTAAAATTTTTCAAATGATAAAATAGTTTAAAATTCTACAAAAAAAAAGTTAAAATTAAAGTTAACTATGCCTAATTGAGTAATTATTTCTTGTGGGATCGAAAACTTAGACGCGCTTGTCCACTTTATTACTTTTACACATTATCTGCACTTGTGGTACATAACTTTTAATGAACAAATTTGACGTTATTTTTATAAGTTTAGTGATCGAAATTCAACCACTTCAATGTTCAATGAGCAATTGAAGAGGTTTTTTTCAAAGTTGAATAAGCAATAAGACATGACAATTTGTTAATGAATTTTGCCAATTTTACAATCGGAATTGATAACCTTCTCACAGGAGGGAGCCCACGAATTTTTTATTCATTGTATCTCCCTTCCATGTATGTGGTTGTCAATTCAAGTTGTACATATAAGATGGCTGTTTGTTAATGGCAAGAAGGCGTTGTCATATGTTCATTTCAGTAGCCGTCATAAAACGAACGTTATGCTAGTGATTAATGTCCAACGTTTGTATGAATTTAATTGCTAAAACTCGACATTTAAACTGCAGTGTACAATCAAAAACACAGACACAAATTATGTTACCATTGGGACAATTAACTCATATTATCTTGTTATAGTGATGTTAACTACTGAGCTTGCTTAAAATTAACAAAATGGGAACTATATTTCTGATTTATATTAGATTTTGTTTGGTGATAGGTAGCATCATAACGCTATAATCAGATTGGAAGCTCGTTGAGGAAAACCTGACCTTATTGAATACTTAATTATTGCCTCGACTCGAACAAGTTTTGATATATCAATTTGGACCGACACATTTCGTCAACCTTATTCTTTTAAATACTATTCAATTCAGATTATTAAATACATTCCTCTCTCTCTCTCTCTCTCTCTACACTATGTTTAAATTCATTTTTGGTCCCATTTCTTAAAATTTATTTTTCTCAAATATATTTTCAACCACAAATTTAATAAAATTCAAAATTTTTTAATTACGCATTTCATCTATTTTGTTAAAATTTATTAAATTTTTAACAAAATCAAACGAGTGTTATATGAACTTAACGAAAGAAATAGTCTACTTCGGCGAATAATAATAATATTTTTATTATGGTAATTTACAAGTTTATTCTAATAAAAATAAGGATTAAATCTCACGATCCTGCATTTGGATCAAACGTGCAGATTTATTGTCCTTTTAATATTGACAAAGAAGGCCAACGGTAGTTGAATGGTCACGTGATCAAAAGTGAGAAAATATTTTCCATGGAAAAAAATGACAATCAAATAGTACATTTTTCATAGAAAATATTGGCAATCAAACGGATTCTAACTGATTAATTTCGAATAATTTCCGAGTTACTTTTGACTAATAAAATTTCTCAGCACTCTGATTAATAACAAAAAAGATTCTGGCAATAGTATAATGAACCTCTAGGAATCTAAACACCATGGCTGTATGTAAATCATCATTCAAAAGACCGAAGTGGTGAACCCAAAATAACAGCACGCGGGGATAATACGACGGTGCAAAGCCATGGCTGCGGTTGTCCGGCTGTCCACTATAGCAGTTGCGTTCCCCATTGGTCATCCCACGTTGATGTCCCGGAGTTTCCCGCCTAATCAATGGCCGTAAATTCAATTCCGTCTCCACAGAATTTTTTCTCAGTTACTTGTTCTGCCTCCAATAGACCCTCGCCCGATGTTAGATAAAGATGCATTACTTTTGTGAAATTTGGATTTAGAATCACATTTGATTGGATCATAGTGAAAATTCTTATAATCTGTGTCTATTGGTTTGTTGCTTTTATCTGTCTATTATCTTTGAACCGGAAAATTCTAGAACCAAACGTGCTGGCAGTTGAGCTTGAACATATTCAAACACTGACTCTATGAAACTAATGGATACTAAGTTGCTTATTCCTTTTATAACTTCAAATGTACGGATGAACCTGTGATGAGCAATTTCAACATCTCTTAAGTAGAACCACTTTTGCAAAATTTCCATGTACCATTTGTCGTGTCAATGTCCCTTATCGGGGATAAATAAGGAAGAACGTAGGATCCTGCAGTTGATTTCCATCCTGGTTATTGCTTCTTTTGAGAATGATCACCTCCCAAAACTTTATGGCACATAAATTGTTTCATTAATAGCATCAGGCTTCCTTTTTTTTTTCCCCCCCAAAAATGCTTAAGATTTCTATCTGATGATGTATAATGTATTTTGCCTCTTCCCTACTTTGAGATGATTCTGAGAAGTACACAAAGCACTGCTAGCATGTTTATGACAATGTAATTTATTTGTTATTCAGTTCTAAGGCCAAAATACTAAGTGAAGTTCTTTCTCCCTTTCGATCTGCCCGGATGTTCTTTTATCTTACTTTCATTGCAAGTGCTTTTCTTGGAGGACTGATAGCTTTCACACAATTAATTGGGGCACTGGCCAATTCAACAAGAGCAGCTGAAGTTCCTGACATCATCACGGGTCTTGGCACAGATATTGCAGTCTCTATATTTGCGTTTCTTTATTACAGATATAACATTTCTAAAAATGCTCAGTTGGCTAAACTTTCAAGAGAGGAAAATATTGCAAACCTTAAGCTTCGTATGGATGAGAAGAAAATTCTTCCCGTCAGTGCTTTTAGAGGAATTGCTCATCTTGTCATTCGTGCTGGTCCTGCATCTTTCATTACTGAGCCTTTCAAACTCAGTGAACCTTTTGTCGAGGGCCTTATGGAAAGAGTGGTATTTCTTGTCCCATTTGCTACAGATGGAAATTCAGCTGTCCTTGAGTTCGAAGAAAGTGAAGAGATGAAGGAAAGAACTTCCAGACAGAAAAGGCTATGGCAGTCATCACCTGTTTTTGATACCGAGCGGTCTAAGTAAGGAATGGGGAAAAAGCTTCTCTAACTCTTTCCTTGCCCAACCTTCCTTCTCTGATATCATCAATAGCTATATATCATGAACTTTGTGTCATCGATAACTGGTGGTTAGATGAACAAAAGCAACTGGCCAAGGTCTCTCCTGAATCTCCAGTGTAAGTAATCCGTAATTTTAGCCTGCTCTTTTCCTAAACATTAGGATTATAAAAGTTCAACTTATGCTGTGATCAAAACATACGGATTTAGGTTGCAATTTAAAATTGGAGAATTTGGAAAAATGATTTGAAATCAATATGTGATGTTATCTATTCAATGTCCAAATCATATTAATTCTGAAGAAATCTAATAAAGCAATCATACCTCTTTGTTTACATATGGAGGTACTTGTCACTTCGTTTGGATGGTCATTTTCAGGGCAGTGGCGTTGGTTACCCACCTTGGAATGCTTTTGTTTTGCAATTACCAATGTGGCTTGGTCTTCTCGACGGCATGGATGGAAGAGTTTTACGAAAGTAATTAACTCTTTCCTACATAGCCTTAATTATTGCTAATTTTGTATTGTGTGGTTATATTGATTTCATTGTCATGAACTCCACCCAAGAAATTGAAATACAGCATAATATACTAGTCAGAAACAGCTTAGTTCAATGTTCTTCATTAATCAGGTATGACATCTCAATTGTAGTGTCTTTCACCCCATTTAATGTCTTATCTGAATGAAGTTCATCAGCTGGTTGAAGAAATAGAAGCAAAGGGTTCAAAACGAGTCGTTAGGAAATCGAAGTAAAAGAGAATTTCAACGTATTAAAGACACTAAAGCATTCCTATCCATACTCGTTACACAATCTCCTCCAAGTACAACAAACACGGCATCGGAAGGACACGAAGTCAGCTGATGATGATTTATGGGCTTTGTCTCCAAATAGCAACTCTTTACCATAATTTCATTTAAATGGTAGTGTTGGAATCAGGATTTAGACAATCATATGCCTTAGAGAAGCAGGACAATTAAAAGTGGGGAGGAGGCTGAGGAAATGAACTAAACAAATCCCACATCGAAAGATGACTATAGTTAACCGAGATGGAAACTAATATAAAATGGCCCATTGTAAATCTATTGAACCATGCAGCCACGCAGTGGACACAAAGCGAACTATTCTTTCGCCTTTTACTAAAGAATACCGTGTGTTCGCTGCAATTAGTGGCATACACTAATTTTTGGAGAGGTCCAGTTCTTTTGGATTGGCCTCTACAAGTCCAGTTAGAAAGTTATTATTGAAATGTTAATTAGGTTTTGTTTAAATTTAATTAATTTTCATTTTTTCTTCAATTTTTAACAGCGTGAGTTTTTTATAAAATAATATTATAGGTTAATTGAAAATTTTTCCTTTTATTTTTTTAACTGCGTACTTTTCCAAAAAATGTTATTTCATTCATTTTCAAAATTGGGCCAAACGGGGCTTAATTCGTTGTGTTTAAAATCATTATTTTATTCTTGATTAAAACTATTTATTTTTAAGTTCTTAATAGCTTTTGATAAAATGAATTTTTATTTTTTATATATTCATTTTCTTAATTTTTTTTTTTCAAGGAAAGAATATCGAGTAAATTGTTCCAACGGTTTGGACGTTACTTCGGCTTCATATCGAATCTTAAAACATAATTAGTAAAATGATAATTCCTATGAGGTTATTTGGCTTCATATCAAATCTTAAAACATAATTAGTGAAATGATAATTCTATGAGGAGGCGTACACAATAGATTACTCTCCCTTACATGGAAGGAGTTCACGAATATTTTATTGTCTATTTTTGATCGCTAAACGTGTAAAAATGATTTAGGCTTCTTGTCGTTAAAAATGTGTATCACAAGAGCACAAGTCGCGAAAAAGGAGTTGAGTTGTTAAATCCCATGAAAAATGATTACTCAATTATGTGTATCACAAGAGCACAAGTCGCGAAAAAGGAGTTGAGTTGTTAAATCCCATGAAAAATGATTACTCAATTATGTGTATCACAAGAGCACAAGTCGCGAAAAAGGAGTTGAGTTGTTAAATCCCATGAAAAATGATTACTCAATTATACAACAGTTATATCTAATTTTAGCTTGGATTTTTTTGTAATGAAACATGCAATTCATTTAATTAAACACAAACACAGGTCGCGTAAAAGTAATAAAGCGAAAAACGAGTGGGGTTGTCAATCTCACAAGAAACGGTTACTTAATTACACAATGATTATATTTAATTTTAGTTTTGGATTTTTGTAATGAAACACTATTCATTTAATTAAATTTATTGTGTGTTGTTGCAAAAATCACATTTTAATTTAGTTTGATTTTAACATCGAAAACACACAGTGAATTAAAATTTTTCAAATGATAAAATAGTTTAAAATTCTACAAAAAAAAAGTTAAAATTAAAGTTAACTATGCCTAATTGAGTAATTATTTCTTGTGGGATCGAAAACTTAGACGCGCTTGTCCACTTTATTACTTTTACACATTATCTGCACTTGTGGTACATAACTTTTAATGAACAAATTTGACGTTATTTTTATAAGTTTAGTGATCGAAATTCAACCACTTCAATGTTCAATGAGCAATTGAAGAGGTTTTTTTCAAAGTTGAATAAGCAATAAGACATGACAATTTGTTAATGAATTTTGCCAATTTTACAATCGGAATTGATAACCTTCTCACAGGAGGGAGCCTACGAATTTTTTATTCATTGTATCTCCCTTCCATGTATGTGGTTGTCAATTCAAGTTGTACATATAAGATGGCTGTTTGTTAATGGCAAGAAGGCGTTGTCATATGTTCATTTCAGTAGCCGTCATAAAACGAACGTTATGCTAGTGATTAATGTCCAACGTTTGTATGAATTTAATTGCTAAAACTCGACATTTAAACTGCAGTGTACAATCAAAAACACAGACACAAATTATGTTACCATTGGGACAATTAACTCATATTATCTTGTTATAGTGATGTTAACTACTGAGCTTGCTTAAAATTAACAAAATGGGAACTATATTTCTGATTTATATTAGATTTTGTTTGGTGATAGGTAGCATCATAACGCTATAATCAGATTGGAAGCTCGTTGAGGAAAACCTGACCTTATTGAATACTTAATTATTGCCTCGACTCGAACAAGTTTTGATATATCAATTTGGACCGACACATTTCGTCAACCTTATTCTTTTAAATACTATTCAATTCAGATTATTAAATACATTCCTCTCTCTCTCTCTCTCTCTCTACACTATGTTTAAATTCATTTTTGGTCCCATTTCTTAAAATTTATTTTTCTCAAATATATTTTCAACCACAAATTTAATAAAATTCAAAATTTTTTAATTACGCATTTCATCTATTTTGTTAAAATTTATTAAATTTTTAACAAAATCAAACGAGTGTTATATGAACTTAACGAAAGAAATAGTCTACTTCGGCGAATAATAATAATATTTTTATTATGGTAATTTACAAGTTTATTCTAATAAAAATAAGGATTAAATCTCACGATCCTGCATTTGGATCAAACGTGCAGATTTATTGTCCTTTTAATATTGACAAAGAAGGCCAACGGTAGTTGGAGGTAGGGTCCCTTATTAGCTAATATTTTCCATTGAATCTTACGAAACAATTTGACGGCTGAGATTCGTTTGCGATTGATAACAAGTGCATTTAAAATGTCATTTTCGTAATTAACCCTGAAAATTAAGGTGTTTTAATGTCATTGTCAAATCGGATAAAGTAAATATTCAAGCGTTAGTACCGGGTTGTCGAGTGCCCACAGACAAGGACAAAACTTCAAGTAAAGAAAGTGAAGCCAAAAACCTCATTATAAGGCCAATCATGAGAAAATTACTTATAATTGTTAATTATATTATAAGAATGTCTTTTTATTTATTGCAACTTCAATATTCTACCTTTGCATACGAGCCCCTCATCTAACGAATGTACATCCCTCTTATTATACGCGAAAATTACATAGTATTCAAGATCAAAATTGAAATTTGATTGAAATGTCAAGGTCAAAATCGCAAGATACTCAACAAAGCACAATATCAAGGTGCTTATCTCATGTAGGACAATCAAGAAAGGTGCTGTATTCGATGTTAGAGTAATGTTGTGTATTAAAGTGAAACATAATGTCATATTAAATTATAATAGATAGAAATAAGTGGCATATGTAACAGTGCTTTCAAGGTCCCAACTTTGATTGTACAAATTCCACTCAAGTTTTGAGGACATGAGAATCACCTGCGTCTAATTTTGAGGACTTAGCAGTCACCCACTTGAAATCTCAAACTTTTGCAGGACTCCAAAGTCCAAACCCTTTATACTTATGCGGTGGTCGATATGTTCAAAAGATCGAGCAAATGAAAGGTTTTCATTTTTTTTAATGTCATTGTCAAATCTAAGCAAATAAAAGTACTAAAAAATGAATTTGAAGATCTATCTTTCATTCTTTATAAAATTGCTTCGATAAATCAAGCAATTTAACAACCACTAAATTCACATGGTAATAAATTAAAACTTGAGCATTTAAGATTGTAGTCAAATAGTATCTTGAGTTCGAAGTTTGAAATATTTATTTCAAAATGATTTGATGGTTATGAAATCGTGTAGGAAGCAATATAAAATTAAAGGGAAGAAAAAAGGAGTAACAAAAAGACCGTCAAATAGAGTACTATTTGTTGGGAATTCTATCAATTAAAAGCTACGGAAACAAATTTATTGCATATGATACAAATCAAATCAAATTTCACTTCGTAATTAATAATCCACCAAATTGATGTTAAAAATTTATTGAAGAATTTAATTCATGGTATCACGTAACAATAAATGCATGCTCAATATTGAAAAAATTGAAGGACAAAAAATTAGAAACTCATTAATGCAAATTTGGGTCCAATTAAAACGATACTAAGGTAGAAGGACCATTCAGCTAAATAATAATAATAATAATAATATCAATATGTGTTCTCATATATATATATATGTATTTTTTTTAAAATTTTATTATTATTATTTTTTAATCCAAATTTGCACCTCTTTCCATATACGTAATCGAAACAGATAAACAAATCAGAATAAATGAAACCTCGTCGAGTCCGACAAAGAGTCGGTGTAGATGAAGAAAAGCTTACTGCAAAACAAAATACTCTCTCTCAAAACAATCCGGCATTTCTCCGGCATTAACCTCGCCGGAAGTTTCTAATTCTGGCGACCTGTCAGCCGACGCTATTTCTGTTATCCGATTCGAGCTCCTTTTTATTATATCTACCTAAAAGCTACATTTCTGAGTTTGACGGTGTGGAAAGGGAAGAAAATAATCCGTGGAGTGTTTGTATGTGCACATTGTAAGGGATTGGCTTTGCGAAATTTTTGTGAGAATTTTTTGAGTCTCTGCTGTGCTTTTCGTTACCGATCCTGCTTTTCTGTTACGGTTTCTCGATCTCGCTTTGGAGAGGTAATGAAATGAATCGAATCTGATTCCTTTTATTGAATTGATTTTTTTTCTACTGTTGTTGCAGCTTTTCTGCAATGGTTTTTTGAATAAAGATATTTATTTTTTTGTTCTAGGATATGAAGTTAAAAGTTCAATTATTTTTGCCGAAGGCTTAAAAAGTTATAGCTGCAATTTAATCTTAAGGTCGGTGGAAAAAAAAAATAGGAGACTCTGAATTTTTAAAATCCTTTTCTTTTTGCTGTTAATTTAAGAAAATCTATAGCTTGTTTATCACGCTTCAATTCTTTGAGTTTAATTGCATTTATCTTGAGGGACTTGGAGTTTGTTCAGGAATGTAACTGATTGATGCAAGGTTTCGTGGGAATATGCTGAAACATGCATTAACAAAGCAATGTGCATACAGAGGTCTTGTCTGCATTCCTTCCTTTTTCACATAAATCTAGGCAATTCTTTTGCAGTGCACAGTGATTGTCTCCTCAAGATAGCTGTCTTTTCTTCTCATTCTCACCCTCCCTCCCTCTTTTCACTCTCTCATATACACGTGTTTTGAATTTTCATCTGTGAAGATAGTTTTTTTGTATGATTTGATTTGTTTTAACTTTTCACTGCCAGTGCTGGATGATTTCGGTTTTCCATTTTGGTTTTCGTTTATTTATTTGTGAGTTTGGCTGTGTATCTGGGGGATTGGGGTTCTTTGCAAAAGCAGCTTGTTTCAACCGCGAAACAGCTAATTTGCACTTCTGATGGTTGCATACCTCACTCTTTTTAGTGTTGAAAAGTGCAATTTACCTTGTTTATTCCCACTTTCACTTAATATTATCAATGATGTTTTTTTTGTCATTATTTCAGTGGAGTGTGCCATACAAGGTGCTGAAATGAATGGGATTCATCAGAATGGGAAAGATCGTAGTTTTGAGAAAACTTTTCCAGGATGCTTGGGAAGAATGGTGAACTTATTTGACCTGAACGGTGCTGTGGCTGGAAACAGGCTGCTCACTGATAAATCGCATCAAGATGGTGCGTACTCATTTTTATTTTCTTGCACAACATGTTTATATTTTCCTGGCGGAAAATTAGGCCACTTATGAGAAATGTAGATGTTCGATACCATAATATTTCAACAGGTCTGAGTTATATGTTTTAACAGGTTTCACAGTGAGAGTAATGGATTTTAGATGACATTGTTGAGTGATTGTGGTTCATGTTCTGCTATGGAACATGCTTTTGAAAATTATTCTGGTTGGTTGATTGTTTGTTTTTCTAATACACATTTTAATCGAGTCCGAACCCTTGCCAGATATAGATGACATAAAACATAAACAAAATTCTCAATGACCTTATAATCGTTTTGGTATGTGAACTTGTTGTCGTTATAGGTTCCCTTGTTTCGTCCCTTGCTTCCTCTAGAGATTGAAGGGTTGGGAAGTTTGTTATCCTGTTATTTATAAATTCCACAATAGGAAGGTTGCATTTGACACAATAGTAACTATCCACAGGTTCGCCACCCTCAAGAAGCCGAGCAGAGGAAGCGTCAGTGGCTCCGTCTAATCACCGAATAGAGGATGATGCGGTATATTTCTATTTATATTACTAAGTCTAGAGCATAGTTTATGATTTTGCTAATTTTCTTCAATATTTAATTATATTGTGCACTGGTGTGAGATGTGCAGATTGTGCCTGAAATAAACAGAACTGGTTCAAACAGAAAATCCAATGCAACGCCCATAAAGATGCTCATTGCCCAAGAAATGTCCAAAGAAGTAGATTCCAAACACAGTCCGGCTAATGTTGTTGCTAAGTTGATGGGTCTTGATGCCCTTCCACGCCAGGAACCTAATTCAGCTGCTCAACGAAGCCATTTTAGAGGTCATCCTCGAAGTCATTTAGATATACCAGTGAGTTACTGGGAGCAACAGAATGGATGCTTTGAATATATAGAGCCAAATGAATGCAGTGATGTTTATGAAATACGGAAGAAATCCCAGAAAACTAATTATTTGCGGGAGAAATCACCACAAAAGGGAAACTGTAATGAAACATCAAATGACAGGAAGATGGCTCTCATTCGCCAGAAATTTGTTGAAGCAAAACGCCTGTCTATGGATGAAAAACTTCGCCAGTCAAAGCAATTCCAAGATGCATTAGAAGTTTTGAATTCCAATAAAGACTTGTTTCTTAGGTGTCTGCAAGAACCAAATTCAACGTTTTCTCAGAATCCTTACAATCTGCAGTCTATCCCACCTTCTGAGACGAAGCGAATTACTATTCTTAGACCTTCGAAGATGGTAGACAGTAACAATTTTGTTGCAGTTGGGAATAAACGTGGAAAACAGGTGAAGAAATGTGCATATGTGGGACATTTGAATGAATTGGAAAAAAGCCATCAGGAATGTTCTTCACCATCCGGACAGAAGATTAACAAAACTTCCACTCAACCAACTCGAATTGTAGTTCTGAAGCCAAGCTCAGTTAGACCACAAGATATGAAGGCTGTTGATTCTCCACGATCGGAATCACCAAGGATATCACATGGTGAAGACTTTTTTGGGGATTTAGAAGATGACGAGAAACAAGAATCAAAAGATGTTGCAAAAGCAATCACACAGAAGATGCGTGAAACGTTCCACAGAGATGAAACCTTACTTTCTTCTGTGTTCTCCAACGGATATGTTGGAGATGAAAGTTCATTTAATAAATCGGAAATTGAATATGCAGATGGTAATCTCAGTGATTCAGAAGTCATATCACCGGTATCTAGGCACTCTTGGGATTATGTTAATAGGTTTGGTAGCCCCTACTCGTCCTCATTTAGCCATGTATCATATTCTCCAGAGTCATCAGTTTGTAGAGAAGCAAAGAAGCGTCTCTCTGAAAGATGGGCAATGATGACATCTAATGGTAGCTTTCAAGAACAAAGACCTGTGCGGAGAAGTTCTAGCACATTGGGTGAAATGCTTTCTCTTTCTGAGACAAAGAAGGCTGGAATGCCTAAAGAACTACGTAGTACTAATGAAGAACCTAGGAGTTCTGATTCTCTCTTTGTTAGTGAGCAGACAAAGGATGAAAATCTTGATGATTCTCCTAGGAATCTCTCAAGGTCAAAATCCGTTCCTGTATATTCTGCTGAGTTTGGCACCAGGCTCAATGTAGACATTCTAGATCCAGATGGAGGCAAACCAGAGGTTTTTAAGGAGGCCACAAAGACAAGAAGTGGAAAATCATCATTCAAAGGAAAGGTTTCGAGTTTGTTTTTCTCAAGAAACAAAAAACCTAGTAAAGATAAATCTGAATGCAAAGATGAATCTCGCTCCTCAGGAATACATTCTGGGCAAGTTGGGAAAGATAGAGGTGAACAACCTAGTGATGAAGGGCCTGAATGTCTGTCACCTTTTGAGCTGGATCCATCAATTAAAGCAGCTCCCCTAAATTTAATTGGCCAGCAGGGCATGAGATCTCCCAAGGTAATTTTACTATCTTCGTGGTTAGCTGAGTCCCCTGTTTCCTTTGAATTTTTTTAGTCTGTTACTTGATGTACGCTTTGATATGGTTATTACAGGTGCATCAGTGACATGAAAAGCTTCTGTCTTCTCTGTTTTAATATGATTGATTATTTTTTCTTCCTACGAAAAACTTACAACTATCAAAGTGCTTTTGTTGACTTTCTCGTTCTCGTACTTTCTACAATCTTGAACAGGATGGCCTTCAAAAGTGCTCTTACAGCTTCCACCAAGACAATATGTAGGTTGATGAATATTTAGGTATATATTACCAGTTGCCTTGACCAATAATTTGTACTACCCTGTAAAATTATGATGATAAACAAGAGTTACAATGATGGTAATCCACCAGATGATAGGAGTAGATAATAATTCAGATTTTCTTAATCGGAAAGAAGTTAGCAAAGTCATTTATCCGAAGGAGGAAAGGGATGCATGTCGAGTTCTGATTACATGCTTTCTTCTGCTTTCCATAGGGTTGTTTCCCCTGATCATTGATTTTTTAGCTTGAAATAGTAGTAATTTTGCTGACATATGTTCATATTATCATGAACCGGGAATACTTAGGACATCATTAACGTTTTTCTACCTTATCAGAGTGGACTGTCTGTAACAAAACCTGTTGCACCTTTAAACCCAAGTGAGAACCAGGACCATCCAAGTCCAATATCAGTCCTATATCCAAATTTTGAAGAGGATGAACATACAGTGCTGGAGTCCTCACGTTTTATCAAGCCGGGCTGTCATGGTAAAGTTTGTTGTCCAGTTCTCAATGTCCATGTTGTTTTTTGATATGTTGTTTCATTTAGTTTATTTACTTATTATTTTGGAATAACAGGACTTGAGTTGCCGTTTCATCATGTTAGATCAAATTTAATTGGTAAATCACCACCTATAGGATCTATTGCCCGGACTCTGCCATCAGATTTGGTCATGGACACAGCATCATCATATCCCTTAAAGCCATCCTTACCCTCCCCGGGAGCAGAGGAAGAAGAATGGTTTTTATTTGTTCAGACACTATTATCAGTGGCTGGACTTGATAGTGAGGAGCAACCTGACTCATTTTTGGCTAGATGGCACTCACCAGAGAGCCCATTGAACCCATCATTAAGGGACAAGTACATAGATTTAAATGAGAAAGAGACACTACATGAGGCTGAGCGAAGGCGAAAGAGATCGACCCGTAAACTTGTGTTTGATTGTGTGAACGCAGCATTAGTGGACATTGTGGGATATGGATCGGCTTCATGCCAAAGAGCCATTCCATGCATTGGGGCCAGTAGTAGCTCATTGGAGAATGCATCATTGATGATGGTGGACCAGGTGTGGGCCGGGATGAAGATATGGTTTTCTAGTGACGCCAGATGTGTTTTGGTCGATTATGGGGACGACAACTGCTTGGTGGTTGAGAGTGTAGTAAGAAAGGAGGTGGTCGGGAAGCGTTGGACTGATCATTTGAGACTGGAGATTGATAATTTAGGAAAGGAAATTGAAGGGAAGTTGCTAGAAGAGCTTGTGGAAGATGCTGTGATTGAATTGACTGGTAGAATTTGACGAGACTTAAATTTTAATGACTTGAACTAGTTTCTTTAATTTACAACTCCATTGTTTGTGTATATCAATATGTTATTCTCTATAAAATGGTCCCCAGCCCATCTCTAATTATTTAATGTTGCAAATTATTACAAATATGTTATCCATATATTTGTCTGGATTTCTACTGTACAACCTTTTCCTTTCATTTTATCCAACCAGAACGCCAGAATCTTCATGCATAAATATATTAGATTTGCCTTGCATTGTCTTATATTATGAATGGTCCTGATTGTGGTTAAGCTATGTGAAGTATTTCTATATGCAAAGTTAAACCTGAAGAAACTCGACTCTTGTATGATTAGAACTTGGAAAGTGTATATAAATTGAAAGAAATGAATAGTAAATAAGTGAGTAGTGCTTGTGGATCTCTCTAAATTTGTGAATAAAAACTTAAAAAGTGGTTTGAGTGGTTATATTTGGTTTATAAACATGTGCGAAATATATATTAATTGTTCCTATGAGTAGTTTAGTATACATGTATAAGAAATGTTCTCCGGTCCACAATGAAAAGTATTATCTTGCCCTTGTTTGAGTCCCATTTTTGTGAAGAAAATGAATTTTTGAATAGTGTATTGGTGGGAAATGTGTGGTTAAAAAAATATGGAAATTTTTTTGATTTGCGTATAATATTATTTTATTGAAGAATGTGTAGTAGAAATGATGATAAATCACTGTTGAAAAATGGGGCTCGAACAAGGGCCTTTTCTACTTGGAGAAAAATCTTTAGGTTCCCATACCTGCCACGAGTTAGTGGGTTGTCTTATTCTGTTCAATGTGGGCAGTAGAACAATTTCGCTACATGTATTGCAATACTTTTTAAGCAATGTATTTCGAGATGAGTTTTTAGCCTGTTTATCATAATGGGCATCAACAATTTTAAGTTGCCTAATTAACACAAATTCCGTAAAGCTTCATATTATATTTACCAAATGATAAGCAATAAGACACCACCACACGAGATTGGTTACCAAAAGGGAAACATGTGACCCTGCTGGTGTAATATTCATAAGCAGAACAAACAATGTTCTTATAGTACTGAAGCTGCATTTTCTAAAAAATATCTTGGTTTGGAAAATTAAACTTTCTAGTTCAGCAGCCCGGGACCTAGTTTCGTCAATCTCGAATTACGCTAACATCGTGTGGTCTTAACGCTCTACAACTCCCGTAAGGAAATTTATAAGTAAAGGAACACGCACATAAATATGGAAAACCCTCTTTATATAAATGGAAGAGAACTATTTACAACTTCTCAAGTATTTTCTCCCAACAAGAAGATATCATTCTATTTTACTTTACTCCCACTTAATTCATGGGAATTTTCTCTCGACTCTCCATTCATCCCATATCCCATCATGCATGTCGCGTCCAACTTGAAGTCACTTCATTGTGGACGTGACAATACACTCTTGTGTCGCTTTGTAGTTCCTGAGAAAGCCATGCCATGGATTACGAGGAGTCAGTTGCACTCAATTTGTAGCAATTTTTGTGAGGACATCCATCATACTTTTGACATCCAAAATGATGGAAATCGTCCATTTGCGATTTGTGTGCCAACAAAATTTAGAAGTTTGGCGATCTTTTTGCTCAAGATTGAAGGACGAGATTCTACTTGTTCTACTTTAAATATGTTGAATGCCCGAGCTCTAAATGTTTCATAATATTGTCTATAGTCATCAGGAAAACATGGATTTCAATTAAACAATGGCTTTCGAGGGGCAAAATCAATGGTTAAATATATATACGTAACGACACATATCAACATGGTTCTATACTTCTATTTGTAGCCATTTGTTAAGGTCACTCAACAGGACAAACACTGCAGAATTCAAGCTGGAATTGGAAATTTTCATTAGACCTTGGCTGTTTGTCTCTGGCTTGCCAAATGCCAATTATATGACAGCATAGAGGACAAATATATCGATATTTATCAGTGTGTACAAACAAGGATTATTCTTATTTGCCAAAAGAAGGAGGTGTACTGACCTTTCAATATCTATTCCTTTAAAACTTTTACCACTATCCAAAGCGTAGACAGAAAAATCTCGTGACCCAAAAAGAAGAATCTCAAGTGCCGTTTAGTTTGCGTTTCATTTTAAATTTTGAGTTCAATTTTTTATTTTTGGTCTTTTTTAAAATTACTGAAAATGTGTTTCATTTGTCATTTTTTTTTAAAACAAAATTCAAAATGGAAAATTGAAAAATACGTTTAGTTTGAATTTTGAGAAACGACACATTTTGAAGTTTGTGAACTTTATGATATTTTGTTGTGCTACAGAAGTAAAAAAAATAATTTAAAGTTGACAAAATATAGGAAATAAAAAAAAAATAATGACGTGAATTGAAAATTTAAATAATCAAATATGAGCTTTAACTATTTTATTTTTTAAAATTTTTATATTTTTATATTTTTTTAGAATTTTATATTTCAGAACTTTTATTTTATATTTTTAGAATTTTTAAGTCAGAATTTTGTATTTTTGCTTTACTAGCAATTTTAATTTTTAAAAATTTATTTAAACGCTTATTTTTCATAGTTTAGGTGTTTTCAACATTTGCACCGAAAATACTCAGAAGTCAAAAACACGTTTTGAAATTTAAGTTATAAATTTAGTCTTATTTTCTAAATTGTGTTTTTTTTTTGATAATTTTCAAAACTGAAATTGAAAAGCAGCAAACCAACCCCTCAATTTTGTCTTTCGAATTTACTTTATATGGCACGGGAAATTGCAGTGGGTGAACTAGTTATTGGGGACTAAATGCATTCTGGATTATTCATATGCATTATTAAATGTTAAATGGATACTATCTTAACTCGTCAAGAAACATGGATGATTTTCTTGCAGTAACATTAGCGAGTTTTTATCGTTTTGAAATTATAGTGAGGCATCAAAATTTTAATGATAAGACGACCTCCATGGGACAACAAACCTGAACTTCTCTTCTTGTCATCGTTCATGGCATTGGAAAAGTGAGGTAACTCAAAATAAACAATAACAAGATTCTCATTCAATCTAATTTTACACAGAGTTTCAGAACAGTTTCTAAGAACTCATTGGACATACAACACAAATTGGTAGCAAAAAAAAGTACTTACTAGTTGACACAAATATACATAGCACAATGAAAACGCGACACTTTACTAAGCCCCTGTTTGGTGGAACGTAAAATCAAATTTTAATCTAAGATAAAGTCAAAAATTAATTTTAACCACACATTTTATCCACTTTTATCAAAATTTAGTAAAAAACTGATTTTAATATCCACCAAACAAGGGCCTAAATGTACAATATGTCTATCGACATAGAGCTTTATCTATGCTTTGAAGACCTATTTACATGAAAAGAAAAATGATCCAAGAGCTACATATGAAAAGTAGATAACCCCACATGCTTCTTCAGGAAATTCATGCCTTCAGATATTCACTGCTTCAAGCTTGTGTCGGTGAATTAGACTTGGCATCACCACTGTTGAGTCCATGCAGCAATGCACAAGTTTAGGAGGTGATTTAAAAAGTACAAGAGAACAAACAAACCGAAAGGAAACAGTTACTCCATAGTATGGATTTGACAACCTAGGAGAAATCGATGCAAAAGGAAAAGAAAATAAAAAGGGCCTAAAAACCAGTGGTCCATTTCACATATGAACGGTTCCTAAAAGTTAGTCGTAGACAGCAGCTCAAGGCACTCTCCCATGCTGTAATTTACATATTGTATTAGTAAATTGCAGCGTACTACTGCTACAATTTCAAAACTTGTCATAGGAGTCGAGTTTTAAAGTAATTTCTTCATTCAAGGCAAACTTGCACTAGATGTAATTATGCAGGTAGCATGATAGTATTTCTCCCTCTATCGTTCTAAAAAGAGAAGGCTTAGCATGAGGTATAGAACACAGTGTTTGCTCAAACAAAGAGAGAAGAACATGAATCTGATGGAAAATTCTACAAAAATCTTAGCAGTATCGAGAAGCAAATCACTTTGTCAATAACATGAATTTGATGGAAAATTCATAGCATCTAATACTAGAATATTGAGGTCAAATTCAGATTAATCCAATGTCCAGAGCATTAGTTGCAAGAAGGAAAAATATCACACAATAGCTGACATCAGTACAGTTTCTTCGTTTATTCTTTCCCTCCGAAGTTTTCCCTTAATTTCATGCTAGTGATTTGTGTGAGAAGACAATGACCACGGAGAACTGAATAGATCCATTAAGAAATCTACCCAATCTGCACAACCCAATAATGGCTTGGGTGATGGTTCTCTCTTCCCCATCCACTCTCATCTTGTCATATATCCTACTGGTTCTATATGAGAAATTGCCAACCCATATAAATTTGGTTGATTAATTTAATCAGTAACATGCATTCTGTAGCTCTGAAAACTACTCATTTTCTACATGTGAATATATTAGATACTACAATGTAAAACAAGGATGTGTGATTTTTGACATTTTTTGCTTCTGCTTTTTCTCAATAATTAGGATTGTTATTGCCACTTAAAAGGCCTACTTTTTCTCTCATCCATGAACTCCAGATGTCATTGTGCACCACTTCATCGTCGCCCGTGGCCCTGGTTGACCCTGATGCTTGTGGATTAAACAGTGACTCCATTATCCTACTCCTAGCGTCATAATCTTCCTCAATATCATAGTCTACCCTCTGACTGGAAATCAAGGATGAGTATTGTTGCAAGAAATAGGGATAACACCTGAGAAGAAGAATGAAGAATTTTGTCCATAAAATCTGAAGTAAAGATGCAGCTAACAAATGACAATCGAATACCACATAAAGAGCATCATCTGGTAGTTTTCTATTTTCTATAAAAACTAACATCTAGGAGTTCACGAGACCATCACTCAACTTCAGTTTCCATCTTCTAAAGCTGGCAAGAACTAGTTTTAGAATGGATTGCAGGTAAAATGTTGATCAATGGAAAATTATTTTGCAAGACTAAAGTCCAAGTTCTTTCATGGTAGCAAGTACTAAATCCCTAGAAAGTAGCTATACATCTGACATGGGTTAGACAGTGCAGACCATATTGGATGAATGGGAAAAAAATTGCAATAGAAAATTGAAATAAATGGAAGAGAAAACCTCAACGTGGACTATAAAAAGTGGTAAGAAACCAACCAGTTTTGAAAGTTACTAAATAGTGATGGTCCCAGGATAATTCACTTGGGAAGTC